TTGAGGAAAGGGGTTTTGCCTTATGTTATCTATCTCCCTAGTGCCTAGCATACTGCCTTATAAAGAAGTATACAGCCAAGAAAAGTTGTTGGGTACCATATATGCATATCAAGAAATAGTTGAGGGGGCTGGGGATGTGGCTCAAGCGGTAGCGCGCTCGCCCGGCATGCGTGCGGCCCAGGTTCGATCCTCAGCCCCACATACCAACAAAGATGTTGTGTCCGCCTAGAATTGAAAAATAAATATTAAAAAAAAAATTCTCTCTCTCTCTCTTTAAAAAAAAAAGAAAAGAAAAGAAATAGTTGAGGCTGGGGGTGGAGCTCAGTGGTAGAGTCTTGCCTAGCGTGCACGAGGTCTTACATTCAGTCCCTATACACACACTCATTTGAGTATACTTCATTATTGTGTTCCTTGATTGAGTCAAAAGAACCGGAATATTTTAATATTTATTCTGACAGTTCTCTGGCCAGTGGGAAAGGAAATTTTTAATTTTTGAAATGAAAAACTATGTCAATTACACCTTGGTTAACTTGAAAATATTAATACTATGTCTGAAATAGACACTTCAATACATACCTATCTAACCTTTTCACTCTGGGAAAACTTTTCAATTTTTAAAGAAATGGATTGGATTTTCAGAGCATGAAAGAAATGAGAAGTAACTAGTTATTACTAGAAATTTTTCCAAGCTCGGAGTCTGGGGTCCTTTTTAAATTTACCTTAACAAGGTATAGATAGCACTTCTTCAAACTAGTGCACATTTAATGTCCAACTTTATGGTAACCCTACATTAAATTCCACTGGTTAAAAACAATTTCTTTGGGTTTATGGCCAAAGTGCTGGCGGATCAGCACCATGGACAGAGCAATGCCGCCTGCACAGTCCCTCTTAAGCTGTTTGTGAAATGACAGCTGTAGTAACAGATGTTTTACCCAGGAAACACTGATGTGAGTGCTCTTCTTGGGATCACAGGAAGACAGTGCCTCTGGGTTCGAATAAACATAGAGGATACAGGTCTTGAGAATACAACCACTCCTCCAAGAGGTCTCTGAGTACAGTGTACCCTGCTTCACTTATTGACCTATATTGATTCACTACTTTCAACAATCTGCTTTTCTGTTCCCAAGGCACAAACTTTCATGCTGAACCAAATGTAAATACGTAATTAGCACATGTGGAGGGCTCCTGTTCTTTTTAACCTGCACAGTGTCAATGATTCTTTTTTTCTTTTGCAAACCATTCTTCAAATAAATAGGCTGGTGTTTTATTTTGAATGGCATAAAGGAATTATTGACACAATTAGGGAAGATTTGTGGCATCAAAGTTCCATGTTTCAAAACAGAGTTCCTATCTTTCAGCAATAGATTCTGATAGTTACAAGGAAGATATTGTTTCAGAATTTGTTTTAAAATAATCTGGGTTCAGGGGAGTGGGTAGAGGTATAGGGAAGACAAGATTGCCCATGAGTTGATATTTGTTAAAGTTGGAGGACAAAAACAAGAGTTAATGTTATTTTTTTTGGGGGGGGGGGGTGGTAACCAAGGATTGAATTTAGGGGCACTGCCAGCTGAGCCACACCCCCAGCCCTATTTTGTACTTTATTTAGAGACAGGGTCTCACTGAGTTGCTTAGCAAGCCACACTGTTGCTCGAGCTGACTTTGAACTTGCAATCCTCCTGCCTCTGCCTCCTGAATCGCTTTATTTTATGTTTGAAATTTCCCATTAAAAATATACATAGGCATGGGTATGTGCTGAGAGGCCATCAAAACATAACAGTAATTCCCAAGGATCCAGTGATCCAGCCCCTAAGAGATAATGAGGCAGAGATTTTTGTCTTGCTAAAGTCCATGAGATAGAGCAGGAAGTTTGATGCTCAGGGATCTTCACTTTCCTCTGGAGCAAGATGTCTCAGGAAAGCAATTCCATGTCAGAAATAAAAACTTCTTATGCACCTCCTTGACAAAATGCAGCAGGGAGCAGCCTGAAGTTGCAGGGACTGGGGCTCAGCGTAAGGTTGGGATGCCTGGTCGTGGTGAGGGGTCCGAGGCCAATGCACTGAAGATTTAGGTCAGAATCCAAACAACAAAATAAAACAACAGTAAAAACTGACAACATGAATATAATACAGCAGGAAGACACATCCAAAAACTTCCTGCGGGGAATCTCCTGTGGGCTTTTCATGCAGCAGCCATATCCAAAGCAAGTAAGTAAAGAGATTAGTTGGCAAAATGAGTGTAAAAGTGCTTTAAAAAAACATGAAACCATGCAGGCCTGGGAAACACTGCTCACACCCCATGGACAGAGGAGGAGGTTGGCTGAGTGCCTCTAGAAGTGAAACACTGTTTGAAACTCCTGGCACAAAGTAGTTCTAAAAAATAACAGCAGAGCCAGGTACGGTGGTGCCCACCTGTAATCCCAGCAGGGAGGCTGAGGGAGGAGTTCAAAGCCAGCCTCAGCAACCTAGTGAAGCCCTAAGCAACTTACTGAGACCCTATCTCAAAAAATAAAAGGGGCTGGGGATGTGGCTCAGTGGTTAAGCGCGCAGAGTTCAGTCACCGGTACCAAAAAAAGAAAAATAAAAATACAATCTAGTGAGGAAGACAGGTATTTTTTCCAGTTTTTTAAAGTTGTGAGGATTTCATTTAAAAGGACTGTTTGCCAACTTTTTTAACTATCGGGACATGTGACAAGGCTTCAGTCTATACCCCTGCATGGCAACAAGAGGTTAAAATTAATGGCTGCTTCCTTTAGCAAGACTGGTGGCCTCTGATTTACTACAGTCTGCATCATTCCTTAACGTCACAGGTTGTCTTTTTCACTGTCATCTACCTGAGTCTTGCAGACTTTTGAGTTAGTGACTCCTGTTCCTAAGCTGCCAGGATACTTGCCTCTCCTAAAACTACCAAATGCCCCAAGGAGCATTTAAAAAAGACCCTATTCTTATCTGAACCTGAATTCTGGGTTACCGCTTCACCTGAAGTAACCTTGGGAAATCACATCACCTTGCTGAGGTCTTCATACCCTCTAAAATGGAGGTGATCGTGTCTGCTTTATAGGATTTTTGTGGGGACCGAGCTTTGCCTAATTGGCTCTTAAACCCTTACCTTTGCAATTCTTCTTACCTTACCTAGCAATGCTTCTTCAAAGAAATCTTCCCAGACCTCCTGAGTAGCTCAAATCCTTCTCGGTTTCTCTTCTTGGTAGCACCCACCACAGTTACAACTATGCATTAGCTTAAGGTTCATTTGGCTAATGCCTCTGTGTCCCATCAGACTGAAAACAATGACCGAGTTTTGCTTACCACCTATTAACACACTAGGCACAAAAAAAAGGTGCTCAATAAATATAATTTTTAATAAAGTCACATAAAAGTTTAATGTATTATCCTACAAAGAAAAAAAAATAACCAGAAGGAAAGCTGTGTCATGACTGATACAACCCCTGGGACATACTAGATAGATTCCCTCTAACACCCGTTATCTACATGGTACTCTGAGCCTTTAGACTGAGAGAATTTGCACCTCAAATTCTAACTATAGCTGTGAGGCACGAAGGTCACTAAGGTATATTTTCCAAGGAGCTACCTACTCCTACAACAAGGATTTCTGTTTTGTCCCCCGATGCATGCCAAATGCCTAAAACACTGCCTGGCGTGAGTAGATGCTCAGTTAATACATAAGGATGAAAGAATATGCACGGTTCCGGGAAAGCCAGCTACTGGTCTTAGAGCACCTCCCGACGGCACTGGTAAAGTGAAGCTGGAGCCCGTACCGACTTTGTCCCAGAAGTCCCCTCCTCTGATCACACTTAGCCACGCCGACTTCCCCAGACCCCAGGGCAGTAAGAATCACCAAACGGGAGGGCGACACCTCCAGCGGCCCCCGGGGTGGTGAAGACGGCGCAATCCTCCCGCAGGGGACGCTGTTCCCCACAGCGGGCGCCCCACGCTCCAGCCGTCCATCCGAGGTTCCCTCCACCGGACTCGCAGCCACACGGGCCACGATCCCTCCGCCACGAGACCGGTGACCCTCACCGGACAAAGGAGTCCCCGCTCCACGGGGCCTCCTTGCGCGGCAGCGCCCCTTCCCCAGTGGTGCCGCTCCCGCTGCCTAGAGGGAAGACTCTGGCTCCCCATCCCTGTTCTGTTTCGCCGTCTCTATCCCACTGACAGCTCAAGCCCTGCTGTGTCCCTCCGCGGCAGCCCGCGCATCCCTCCTCTCTTCTAAGTCCCTCGGCCGCCAGACACCGCGCTGCGCGCTCTCGCGAGAGTACACCACGCAGCCCCTTCCCCCAGCCCCTCGCCGCGAGGAAGCCCCTGCGGCGCGCGGTCGCGGGCGGCGCATGCGCGGCGACGGCTCCCAGCGCCCCCCGCGCTCTCCGCGGGCCGAGCGGACGAAGCCGAGCGCCGGGAGCCGGCAGCCGTCCCCCGCGAGGCCCAACTTGGACCCGCGACTTTTTATTCCTTCGGGGCGGAACCGCGTTGCGGCCTTTTCTCGACGTGCCGATTTTTCCCGAGGACGGCCGGGGCTGCCGCGGGCCCTGAAGAGCCCGGCGCTGGTCTCCGACACCGCTGCTCCCCGCGGGCCACCTGCGGCCTGGGCGCGCCGCCGGACCCGAGGCCGGCCGGAACCTGGGGCCGGGCGGGGCCCGCACATCCGGCCCCACCCACGCGGGCCTCGCCTCCCAGAGCTGGACCCCGGGGCGGCTGACACACCCCCTCCAGGCCGGCCGCCTCCGCCCATCCTTTCCTCAGTCTGTTTGATTTCCTCCCAGTCCTTGAGCCTCGCTCCCTGTCCCCGACATTGCACTGAAAGGAATGCACCCTGGAAACCACATTGCGGGCGGGGTCATTTCTTGTTTGCTGAAGGGGCCGAGTTTGGGGACTTTTCAAGGGCCTAGGACTGCCCTGTTCTGCTGACACTGCCAGGGGTGTTGGTTTGGTTTGGTTTTTTAACCTGCCTCCCATCCCACACTTTAGAACATTAGGCAGGGAGCTCAGGGAGGCTTCTTGGGGCCCCCTCTTGGAGCTAGACTTGACATTGACACCACCCCGCCCCCCCCCCTCGTTGGAGCATGGCTACGGCCCTGGATTCGGAGATTAACGTGCCCCTGGAGGTTGAGGGGTGCCTCATCATGAAGGTTGAAAAGGACCCCGAGTGGGCGTCGGAACCCATTCTGGGAGGATCAGAGAGCATTGAGTGTGAGACCTTCCGCAAATGCTTCAGGCAGTTCTCATATGAGGATGTGACTGGGCCCCATGAAGCTTTCAGTAAACTCTGGGAACTTTGCTGCCGGTGGTTGAAGCCAGAAATACGTTCCAAAGAGCAGATCCTAGAGCTGTTGGTGATCGAGCAGTTTCTCACTATTTTGCCGGAGAAGATTCAGGTCTGGGCACAGAAGCAATACCCGGAAAGTGGAGAAGAGGCCGTGGCCCTGGTCGTCCATCTGGAAAAAGAGACTGGGAGACTGAGACAGCAGGTGAGCAAGGATTTTGCAAATGTTTGCGTTTTCGAAAGAAAGGGGGTGAGAAAGACAGGATTGCATTGCAAGAAGTACTTATTATGGAAAGTTCAGTGCTACTAATAAGAGACCCTTAAAGTGAATATGCTTAAAAGAAGATTAGAATTTCATATTAAATAGAAAGAGGAAAAGTTTTGAACAAAAAATATTATCTTCCAAATGAAACTAAGCATTGCATCTAAATATGTTTTAATCCTTGGCATAATGTTTCCAGCAAAAGTATGAGAGAACACTACAGTTATGCTTCATAGGGTTTGACTTTTGCAGTTTGATCCTAAACAATGCTATTTTTGCACCCCTCCCAAAAAAGAGAAAAAACAGTTATCCCAGAATATTTTCTAATCCTTTAATATGCCAGCTAGTGTCTTCTGAAGCACTGAACGCTCTCAGTACCATGATCCCATCACTCATCTCCAATCTTACTCCTAGATCTTCATTTCTTGTGGCTCTGCATGCTCTTCTGGTTGTTTTTCAACAATCTCTCATTGACCTCATGAAATCCTGCATCATTTGCCAGGTTTGCAGTTTCACCTTGCACAGGATTTCCGTTGTGTAAAGATCTGAGTATCAGCAGGTTGCTGTGTTGACCTGGAATAGACAAATTGATGTGGGTAATGCAAAAGATTTCTGCTCACTAGTGAATACGTTTATGTTCTGAACCTAATAGACATGAGGGAGTTCAAATAATGTTTATTCTAGAAACTAAGTTGCTCTGTATTTTATTCCTGACAGATTTTCCCCCTCTTTGTAGCAATAAGGAGTACACTCCTGTTCCTTCTGCCCAAACTCCTGTACAGTGTGGTGAGACCAACACTCTCCGAGACTCCACCGGGAAAAGAATGAAATTTTCAGTGTTTCTCATGTCTTCTATCCCTTATTTAAAATATATATACATATGTATCTATCTGTGTGTGTGTGAGAAATGGGCCCCGATTTGGACCTCTTTCCCTTCCCTTTTCCATTATGGTATTGACTTTATTTCTTAGATCAGCAGTCCTGTCCACTCTGAGAAGCAAGCCCCACTTGGAACAGTGTGGGAGGTAGCCGACTTTCAGCCAGCGCAGGTGGAGACCCAATCCAGGGCAGTGTCTCGGGAGGCAGCTGGAAGCCTCCACTCAGGACACCAGGAACAGCTGAATCAAAAGAGAGCACATCGGCCCTTACCCAAGAATGGTAAGAAGGAAAACAAAAACAAAAAAAGAAGAAGAATAGTAAGAAGGACTCAGAGCATGCCTAAAGCAAATATATATGTACTGCATCCCTGACACTGTAACTTGCACAGAGTCATATTTGACTTGCTCAATACATGATTTCAGAGTGAATTGAATATTTGGGAAGAAAGATTTCATTAGCTTCAAGAGTTGGGCACTTAGACAGCCTCATTAAAGAGAGATCTTAAAGGTGAAAACTGGGGAACCTTAGCATTGCCCAGCCAGCCTTGAGTCTTGTGAAATCTCCATTCTACAGTCAGCTTGTGTTTTCAATCCTCCCGTGTGTGTATTTGCTCTTGGCTGACCATAAACAACTTGAAAAACTCTGTGGAAAGGGAAACAAGTCCAGTGTTTCAAAACTGACTTGCATAATGGCAATGAGAAGGATAACAGTAGTATGTCACAAAGAAGGGACACTGGTGTTCATAGCCACCCTAGACATGAATGAATCAAGTCAGATACAAGGAGGTGTACCACCCTGGCCTTCCCAGTTCTCTTCACGTCTCCTGAAGTATGGCTTCATATCAAGCTAAAAAAAAGAAAAAAAAATGGAAAGGTCACTGGACTTACAATCAAAAGTCTTCTGTTTTTATCTTGACTCTGCCCCCCTTTTTGTGTGAGATCTTGAGCAAGTGATATGAAAAGGAGCATTAATACTAAGAGGATAAGACCTGGGACTTGAGAGACAGACCTGAATCCCATTTTTTATCTGTGTGGCCTTGGTCAGGTCACTTCTCAAACTTTCCTTTCTCTCCTATGTAAAAGGGAAATAACAAGGGTGTTAGCACAGATTTAATGGGGCAGTGTAAAATGGCTAGTGCATAATAAAGCCTGATACACATTAGCTTCCTTTCTCATAATGGCAAAATTTTTCTTAAACTTTAACTCTATTGGACTTACACAACCTTTCATCAAGAGGTTAGATTCACTACTACCATACCTGGGGTAGTACCACTCTCCAAGTTCTTTGCATTGCAAAGATTGGATGTTCTGAATTATCCAGAGTGTTCATTAGCATCAAAGATTTCATGGTCACATGGATTAGATGGGACTTTATCTAATTAGTTATTCAAATAAATACCTATTTATGGTATTTCTGGATTTTACCATCCCAAGGTGATGAGGAATTTCTGAAGGCAATTAGCTTGTTCTTTTGAAGTACTAACTCTGGGATATAGGAGGACAGAAGTCTTGAGAGATGGGGCTGGGGTTGTGGCTCAGCGACAGAGTGCTCGTCTAGTATGTGCGAGGCCCTGGGTTCGATCCTCAGCACCACTTAAAAATAAATAAAGGTATTGTGTCCAAGTATACCTAAAAAATAAATATTAAAAAAAAGGAAATCTTGAGGGATGGATATCTCAGAAAGGTTAATTCATTCTAAAGGAAGATCTATGATTTCAGCCATGTGGATTTCAGGGAATAGGATGTTTTCAATGAAATTATTTAATTTGCTTCTGTAGAAAGAAGTGGAGCAAGCTTTTGAGTTCTTATGACAATATTAATACTTTGAGGAAAATATGACAATATTAATTCTTAGGTGCTTAAATTATGCTAATGGTCACAAATTAGTAACTTGCCCACCAAGTCAGACTTGTTTTGTTTCGCCTACAAAGAGTTTTTGTTTGGGGATTTTGTTGTTTGCTTTAAGGTTTAAGGTTTGAGATTTCATGAAAGTACAGATTTCCGGCTTCTCAAAAAATTAGAGGTTCTGGCTCTACTAGAGTCATGGTCTCCTTGCAGCAGCAGCTGGTACTGGGCAATGACTATGCCCTTTCAGCAGGGCGCGTGCTCTCCAGTTCCACATGCATGGCCCCAACCTGGCCCCTTTCCTGTGTACTTTACCTGCTTACTCCTTGAAAGCACTTGAGTTTGAGAGCCCAGCTTTAGGATAATATAGTTTCAGGCATCGCTCTGAACCCATTGAAAAAATTACCGATTTGTATCTTGTTGGTTTTAATACATTCTCATTTCTTGAAAGGAGAAGCATCAAGAATTAAATGGCCAGAGCCCAGAATACTAATTGTTCCTTTTAATTTTTATAGCTCGGTCTTCTCCCTGGATTCCTACCCCTGCTGATGAATGGAATACCATAGATCAGGAGGTTACAGCTACACATCTATCTGCTGGGTCCCAGGTAAATTGTAATTGTCCTCTTTGGCCTTTCTCCTTCCTAGGGTGTTTAGTCACAATGATTTCCTGTGCTTCAGTATCCTCAGATTCTTATACTCTCTCCAAGAGACTTCTTTTCCAGAAAATATTGGACTCAGCCTTCTGAGTAATGGGACTCCTTGCTGGATCATCTCTCTTACCTTCTTTCATTTTCTGATTCTTTGTGTAGCTTTCGTAGTTATGCTTCTTTGGACACACAGTACACACTTGGCTCCTTAATTCTAGTTCTTCTTTAGGGCCCTTCTCTGCTTCATCCATGATCATTTCATCCTTTGAAGACCCGTGCAATTATCTTGGTAGTCACTGGTATTAGTGTTGTTTCAGGAACCAGTGAAAGATGTCCAGATGACAAGAGGCTTTTCCTATAAAAAGAGTGTTCATCAGATTCCTGCTCACAGACATCTCTACAGGGATATCAGGAAGGAGAGTGTTGGAACCATGGTCTCCCTAGGTAAGTATTTTTTCCTTTCATAGATTTAAAAAAAAAAAAAAAATCCTTGGGGATTGATTTCTTATATATTCATTCCAACTGGTGATAAAATGGTTAGATGTATTAATCCTTAAAGACTCTCCATGGGTTCTCTGGTGTAATCACTTTGCTGTGTTCTCTTATCTCACCCTTTTCTTCCTACCAATAGTAGTAATAATAATATAACTTAGTAATTAAAATATAGGAGAAGAATTGTATATTACTGTCACATTCAGAGTATAGAAAATGTAAACTTGCATCCACTAGACTAAAAGATTGATGAAGTCACAAAGACTCTTTTGCTCTTCTGTTAATTTATGTTTGATTGATTTTTTGTTATCCTATTCCTCTCTTCCCCCTTTTCTTTATTTTACTCTAGCTTCCTGCATATTAGAGAAAACTTTCGACCTTTTGAGTTTCTGAGTTTGGCTAATTTCACTTAGCATAATATTCTTCATTTCCATTCATTTACCAGCAAATGCCATAATTTCATTATTTTTTATAACTGAGTAGAACTCCATTTTGTGTGTGTGTGTATGTGTGTGTATAGACATCACAATTTCTTAATCCATTCATCTGTTCATGGGCATCTGGGTTGATTCTGTAATTTAGCTATTGTGAATTGCCATACCGTGTTTTCATTTAAAATTAGTTTATAAAAATGGTTGTCCAGTGCGTCTTGGAAACTCAAACATCAGACTTCACAGGCCCTCTTTCCTGCACAGCAACAATTGGCCAAATCTGAGGAAAGGGCTCCTACTCACCTGCCACAGTTCCCATTCCAGCCTCGAAGTCATTGCCTAATCAAATGCTGATGTTGTCCCATACCTACTTCTCTAGTGTAAAAAATAAAGAGCAGATCTCCATCTGCAGGGTTCCTTCAGAAGGGCTTGATGTGATGTTGCATCTGTAGGAGAATTCCAGCTGGGCATGGTGATGCATGCCTATAATCCCAGTGAATCAGGAAGCTGAGGCAGGAGGATCTCAAGTTAGAGGCCAACTTCAGAAATTTAGCAAGACTATCTCAAAAGAAAAAAAAAAGTGAGGGATTGGGGTTCAGTGGTAAAGCACCCCTAATTTCAATCCCCAGTACCAAAATCTCTAGAAATATTCTATAATGCTTCTATGCAGGTTGTATGGAAAATAACTAAATTTTACATACCTATTGGGGGCGTTAGATACTTTACAGGTGATTATTAATTTAATCTTCCTAGCACCTCTTTAAATAGGAAACTGAGGCTTAGAGGATTAAAAATAACCCCTGATAAAAAGTAAGTAAGCACTGTGACTAGGATTCAAATTTAAGACATGTTGATCTCTTCAATATTATAGGGCAGTAAACTCAATTTGCTTCCTACTCTTCCTAGTCTTTCCTATTAGCCCTACCAAAGTGTCTCCAAAAGTAATAAAATATTTTGTTTTCAGTAAATATTGGTGAAAAATATACTTTTACCAATAATTTTAAAATGTGAAGTAATAGAAAGTAGATTTTGGTCTCTTTTGAAGAAACATGTATGTACTTTGATGTATCTCAGACCATGAAGCTTAGTTACAAGATCTTACTAGAACAAGATCTCTAGAACTTACTCATGTTACAACTGAAGTTAGTACCTTTTGACCAACATCTCATTTCCCCCACCCCAAATCCCCTGTCAACTATCATTTTATTCTGAGTCCAAAGTTTTTAGATGCCCATATGAGATCATATGATGTTTGTCTTTGGCTTATTTCTTTTATTATAATGCCCTACAGGTCCATCCAACGTATCACAGATGACAGGATTTCTTTCTTTTTGTGACTAAATAACACTATATTTGACTGATTGATTGATAGATTGATTGATCTTTTTCCCTTTATTCTCACATTTTCTTCATCCATCGACAGACATTAGGTTGCCTCTGTGTCTTGACTGTGGTGAATAATGCTACAGTGAACATGAGAGTACAAATACCTCAAGATATGAATTTTATTTCCATCAGATACATACCTAGAATTAGGATTGTTGACTCACTTGATAATTCAGTTTTTAATTTTTTGAGGAATCTCGGTACTGTTTCCTGTGACAGTGATACCAGTTCACATTCCCACCAATAGTGCATGGAGTTCCATTCTCTCCACATCCTGTCCAGCACTTATTATCTTTTCTTTTTATGCTTTATTTTTTGTTGGTACATAATAATTATGCAGAATGCTGGGTTTCTTTATGGGATATTTGTAAATACATAAAAACATAATTTGATCAGTTTCACTCCCAATATCTCTCCCATCCCCCCAACTCCAACCTAATGGTGGTCTCTCTTCTACATTCATGACATCCTTTTTCTTTTTTTCCCTGTTTTTTTTTTTTTCCCCTCTAGCTTCCACATACGAGAGAAAACACACAAGACTTTCTTTACTCTGAGTCTGATTTATTTTGCTCAAAATTATGTCCTCTGGTTCTATTCCTTTTCCTGCAAATGGTGTAATTTCATACTATATGGCTGGATAAAACCACATTCTGTATATATACCACATTTTCTTTGTCCTTCTGTCTGTTGATAGACACAAGTCTGATTCCATAACTTGGCTGTTATAAATTGTGCTGCAGTTAATATAGGTATGCATATATCTCTTATGTATGCTAACTTTCAGTTCTTTTGAGTAAATACCAAAGAGTGGTAAGAGCTAGATCATACAGTAGTTCTATTGTTACACTTTTTTTGTGGAGCTGGGGGAAGTTCCAGGGATTGAACCCACAGCCTTGCATGCACTAGGCAAACATTTTACCACTGAGCTACATCCCCAGCCCTATTTTTAGCTTTTTTAGGAACCTTCATACTGATTTCCATAGTGGCGGTACCAGTTTTCATTCCTACCAACAGTGTAAAGAGTTCCTTTTCCCTGCATCCTCAGCAGCGTTTATTGTTATTGTGTTATTGATGATTGTCACTCTAACTGGAGTGAAACAAAAATCTCAGTATACTTTTGATTTGCATTTCCCTGATAGCTAAAGATATTGAACATTTTTTTCATATGATTGTTGGCCATTTGGTTTGATGTTAGCCATTCTAACAGGTATGAGATGATATCTCATTGCCTTTTTTTAAATTGTCTTATCAGATAGATGGTTTGCTTGTAGTTTCTTATCTCTTCACTTTGTCAACTGTTTCCTCTTGCTGTACAAAAGCTTTTTAGTTTAACATCTGGCTTATTTTTGCTTTTGTTGTCTGTTCTTTCAGTGTCATATCCAAAAGTCATTGCCAAGACCAGTGTCGAATTGCTTTTTCCCTATGCTTGCTTTGAGGAGTTTTATGGTTTCAGGTCTCACATTCAAGTTTTTAATACATTTTGAGTTAATTATTGTGAGTAGTGTAAAATAGGTGTACAATTTCAGTCTTTGGCAATTGGATATTCAGTTTTTTCAACACCATTTATTGAACAGATTATCCTTTCCCAGTGGTGGGTTCTTGACACCCTTGTCAAAGGTTAGAAGACCATGCATGAATGAATTTATTGTTGGGCTCTATTCTATTGCACTCTCTGTTTTTGTCAGTATCATACTATCAGTAAGTAGCTTTTTAATGTAGTTTGACAAAACATCTTTACTTCAAATCTCTCATAGCTATTTGTTGAGGTGACCAGGGAGGCAGTGTAGGGTGCAGATGCTAGCACAGTTGATTTGTGAGTAACAAATACCTATTAGGAGCTTACTCTGAACCTTAAACAATGCTATCTACTGAGGGAATCAAAGGTAGTAAAATATGTTTCTTAACCTTAAATGTATTCCTACAAGAACTAGATAGGAGAAGTGGTACATATGGAAGAAGTAAAATGAGATGACTAGGAGATGATTATGCCAGAGAAGTCTTATAAGAATAACCACAGCATGCATTGGCCCCATTGAGCAAGGCTTTGGCCTAAGCACATGGTCCAGGAGGGCATGTCATAGCAGAAGATTGAGGCATGCAGTAACGACATCTGTGCCTACCATGAAATGTGTTTTCTTACTACAGGAAGTACAGTGTCTACATCTAACAAGATAAGCCGGTTGGAACAAAGAAAGGAGCCATGGACCATAGGTCTCCATTCCTCTAATAAAAGGAATATACTACGAAGCAACTGCATCAAGGAAAAGTCAGTTCATGCTATTCAGATTCCTGCCAGGAATGCAGGGAAAACATGGAGAGAGCAGCAACAGTGGGGTTTAGAAGATGAAAAGATAGCAGGTGTGCACTGGAGCTATGAGGAAACTAAGACTTTCCTTGCAATTCTCAAGGAGTCTCGCTTTTATGAAACACTTCAGGCTTGTCCCCGAAATAGCCAGGTATATGGTGCTGTGGCTGAATGGCTGCGAGAATGTGGCTTCCTCCGAACACCAGAACAGTGCCGGACCAAGTTTAAAAGTCTTCAGAAAAGCTATCGAAAAGTGAGAAATGGCCACCTTCTAGAACCATGTGCCTTCTTTGAGGACATGGATGCTTTATTGAACCCTGCTGCCCATGCTTCATCCACCGATAAGCCAAAGGAGGTGATACCTCTCCCAAGGCTAAAGAGAATTGGTATCACTGCTAGAGAACAGATTAGTCTGGTAGAGGAGGAGGAAGCTGCAGAAGAATCTGACGGTGATGAAATAGGCATTGAATTTATCCGAAAGTCTGAGATTCGGGGTGCTCCTGTCTTGTTTCAAAACCTGAGTGGTAAGAATTGTATTTTGTTTCCCTGTTATGAAAACAGAAGTGTGGTCTGTAGAAAAGGGGATAGATGTGAAGCCACTAAACCTGGAGAGTGCTATCACACATCCTGCTGCTTTCACTGTGATGTAAATCCCATGAAAATACCTCAATGTCTATTGCTGCCCCCAGTGCAGCTTAGTGACAGCACTGAGCAGCCCTGGGGTTTAAAGCATAGCATGAATGCTGAGTGTCTGAGGCCTTGTGGAAGGAAGACAGATGAAGTTAAAGGGGTCCAAGGATCTAGTATTATCCAAGAATTGGATTCTACTAAGTCAAGAATACATTATTATATCACCTAGGATGACCAGTAAAATAATATGTAACAAGAGTGAAAAAACATGAATTTTTTTGCTTAATGTAAAAGAAGACAAGAAAGATAAAAAGAATACAAAATAGATAAGTCAAACAAAAAATGATATATATATATATATATATAAATTCAAATGTATCATTAATTACAAACTTACAGTACTAAGATTATCACACATTAAAAAAACAGCTTATATGTTGCTTACAAGAGATGCATCTTAAATATAAGAACTCAGAGATATTAAAAATTGAAAAAATAAAGAGGCACCATGCAAAAGAAAGCTAGTGTTGACTATTTGGGGACAGAGACATACATAATTAAGCTGTCAGTTAATAGCTGTTTGATGGTAGATGAATCATGTAACCATACTGGGCTTCATTTGCCTCATCTATACTATATGAGTCAAGACTACCTCACAGCATTATTATTAGGGTTCTATGGAATATAGAGAGGAAGGCATTCTGAAAATGCTAAAATACAGTGTAACTGATAACCACTGTTACTGGTACTATCTTCTCTACCCCACTAATCAGGGAAGTTCCCGTTGAGTGTTTCTGTCCCCTGTTCTTAATCACATGGGAAAGATACTTCCAGACAGCTAAATTCTTGAGTCTCCAGAGCAGTGGCAGATTTGGGACACTATACCTTTATTCTTCCAAATAAACTTTAAGATCAGTTTATCAATTTCATTGAAAAAAACTCTGTTGGAATTTTTACTTCATAGATTCATTTAAGACCTGATATCTATATAACTTGAGTCCACTTGTTCAGAAACATTCTCTTATTTTTTTTTCTGGTTCTTTCACGTCTTTCAATAAAATATTATACATTTTTTATATAGACATCCTTATTTCTTGCAAAGTATATTCCTCTGTGTATCACATTTCCTGTTGCTACTACAAATAGCATTTCTTTTATAACCCTTAAATTTTGTAATGTATATAAAATAGCCTCCAGACTCCTTATCTCTGAACTTTATCTTGAATGATAGGTGTGCATTGGGGCTACGAAGAAACCAAGACTTTTCTTGATATTCTTCGTGAGACTCGGTTTTATGAAGCACTTCAAGCCTGTCATCGGAAGAGCAAGTTGTATGGGGCTGTGGCTGAACAACTGCGAGAGTGTGGCTTCCTGCGGACACCAGAACAGTGTCGAACCAAATTCAAAAGCCTGCAGAAGAGTTACCGCAAAGTGAAGAATGGCCACATGCTGGAGTCCTGTGCGTTCTACAAGGAGATGGATGCCCTCATTAATTCTCGAGCATCTGCGCCTTCCACAAACCCCCCAGAAGAAGTCCCATCACCCTCAAGGCAACAAAGAGGGCATGTTGAAATGGAACCCCAAGGACCTATAGACTGGGAACCTGAAGACACCTCACAGGAGGCAGTAATAGAAGATTCTGGCAGTGAGAGGATGAGTGAGGAAGAAATTATACCAGAGCCAGAATTCCAGAGACCTCCAGGTCTACTGCAAAGCCCAAATGGTAAGGATCTCCTAAGGTTCTAGTCTAAAAGAGGAGAAGGTGCAACTTACTGAAAAATCAGATCTGGCACAGACTCATGCACACTTATTCATTCAACATATATTTGAGTGCCATGTGCTGTTTCAGGAAATAGCAAGGAATGAAACAGGTCCTGTATTCATGGTGCTTCCATTCAAAGGAGGTACTCACCTACTCAGTCTAGTCACTCATTCTAGTGACTCAGCCTTTAGGATCTCTGGTTTGGTTTTGTCTGTATGGGTCAGATGGTGTTTTATAATTCCTGGAAATGCTGTGGGGAAGAACTTGGAATTATGCGTGAGAGAAAATGGGTGAAGGAGGTGTATCAGTAAGTTTAAATCAGAAACATCTCAGTCATGTGTGGTGTACATGAGAAAAAAGAGGCAGAAACAAAATGAGAGAGAAATAAATCATTTTAGTCCTGAACTCCACCACTGTATTTCTTGCTGACTGCTAAATTTTAGTCAAAGTAAAATCACCATCTTCCTTCCCACACCAATGCAGATGAGGTAAGAAGTAAGAGATTCATGGGAGTTCACTATACATACTGTTCTTTATTTTTCTGTATTTTCTGTTCAAATTTATCAAAATAAGAAATTAATTTAAAAAATCACATGACCAAGAAGGAATCAGAACCAGAGTTATATGATTCTAAAGCTTGTGTCACTTCACCATGTTGTACACTCTGTCCAGAAAACATCATAGAAAAGCTGGATCCAAGGTATGCCTTGTACTAAAGTAGGATGTAAATGAAAAAGTAAGGAGAAAATAATTCCAACTTTATAAACGAGAATTAAGGTTTGGTTAGTGTGGTCAGTGGGATAGACAGAAAAACAAAATTACAAGGCCATCTAAGAAAAAAGAATACTCTTGAGTGGGATGTGATTAGCTGATGTTGAATTCAGAACTCCCTTGAAGAACTTGGACTTGGTCACTAGAATCTACTAAAGACTGGTTAATGTAGAATACTTTAGTATTGATTTGAAATAATGAAAACAGGTGAATCAGAACAGAACTTCAGGGAGATAAGCCAAGTTGCTTCCATGTTAATCAGAACATGCATGGGGAATAATGGTTTGGATTATAATTCAATTGAATTATATTCAATTCAGAAAACATTTCTGAAGACCTACTCTGTACCAGATGTTTGTTTCTGGCCTGTTTATGGAACTGAAGGAGAATCCAGGATAAGGAAATCCGGGAAGAGTCCCAGGATCTGAGACCCACAAAATGTACAGGAATCATAAACACCAAACCTTGCAAGCCAGGTTGTTTTTGTTAACATAGGATTTGTGTGAAATTTATATTGTCTTTTTTTCAGATTTTGAAATTGGAAATAGTATCAAGGAGGACCTAACACAGGTAATCTATAAGGACACAGAACCTCACAGAGCATTAATAGAAAAGTCTAAAAGAGTCATTTCCCAGAACATTGATTCCAGTAAGTATCGTAAAAGGGAGTGCATCTCAGGAAGACAATGGGAAAGCCTTCAAGGAATTAGACAGGGAAAGCTGATGCCTCAGCCTAGAGATCTAGGGAAAGCTGTGGTGCATCAGAGGCCTTTCATGGGGAGGAGACCTTACAGACTGCTCAAGTATGGAGAAAGCTTTGGCAGGAGTGCTCGTCTTATGTGCCGGATGCCCCACCAGAAGGAGAATCCATACAAGTGTAGTGTCTGTGGCAAGTGCTTTGGTAGAAGCAGAAGCCTCATCCGACATCAAAGAATCCACACAGGAGAAAAACCTTTTAAGTGTCTTGACTGTGGCAAAAGCTTTAATGACTCCTCAAATTTTGGAGCCCACCAGAGAATCCACACAGGGGAGAAGCCGTACAGATGCACAGAGTGTGGGAAGTGCTTCAGTCAGAGCTCTAGCCTTATCATCCATCAGCGGACCCACACCGGTGAGAAGCCCTATCAGTGTGGAGAGTGTGGGAAAAGCTTCACCAACAGTTCCCACTTCAGTGCCCACCGCAGGGTACACACTGGGGAGAATCCCTACAAGTGTGTAGACTGCGAGAAAAGCTTCAATAACTGCACAAGATTTCGAGAACACCGGAGAATACACACTGGAGAGAAGCCCTACGGATGTGCCCAGTGTGGCAAACGTTTCAGTAAGAGTTCTGTTCTCACCAAACACCGGGAAGTTCACATGAGAGAAAAGCTTCTGCCACACCCGACCTCTGTGTATTTGCCGGAGAACCCCCTGAAGGGGAAGGCCGAGGAGCTCAGGAGGACTCTTTGATGAGGAGCTCCTCTCTCCTGCCACACCCCTTTAACCAGCTCACCCTGATCTCACTCTTGAAGCAATCTTTTCTTAGCTCTAAAGTGTAATTCCCAAGATAAACTTGAGAGTATAAATAAATTAGACTTCCATCTTATTCTCACCTCTGCCTCTAACTCGATTAGTCTGTCCCTTTCCTGTGTATCTCCACTTCACCTTTAATAAAGTGGAGAAGATTTATTGTCTGAGTTTAAAATGAAATTCTCTTCAGTGTTGAGGCCACTGCTCTTGGATTGCTAAATTCAGCAACATTCAAGATCCTTCCATGTGGGTGAGAGTGGTTTTCAAGGGGATAACTGCTGAAAGGTTTTTGTTGTTGTCTACTACACAAGATCCTGGATGCAGCTTGATAACCGATTTTCACACACGGGTAGAGCTCTCAGGAGTCTGATCAGAACTCTATCAGATCCATCTCTGTGTGAAGATATTTACAAAAGGAGAGTGAACATTTTATAGCTTCCTTCAGAAGCCTATTATGGTGTACCTTTTTTGTGTCAAGAAGTTGATCCAGGTAGCTAGGGGAGACTCCCTGTGTTGTCACTGAGATAGTTTTACTAATGCCTTGCCCTCCATCAAGAGGAGAGCAGTTGATCCCCATCATCTGTTTCTGTACCTGAAGACTTAAATCCCTGTGGTTGCTGCTCTTGCAGGCTGCAAGTAACCCCAGTTCCTTTTGCTGTTTCTCCTGAGTCTTACACTTACCTCTTAATTGTTCTGGGTGCTCTCTTCTGACTCTTCTGGACTACCATGCCTTCTGAAGATTGAAAGGATGCATGCTTATGATGTGTCTCATCAAATTAGGGTTTCAGGCACATTCTAATTTTACCTGATAACTCCTCTTGCTCTTACCTAAAATGTGACTGGTGATATGTTGGCCTGTCTTATACCTCCCACCCCCACATGTCAGTGTAATATTAGACATTTAGTGTTTCTAAAATTCTAAGGGAATAGGGAAGAAGTGAGAGAGACCTGAAACATTTAATATTTCTAGGACCATTGGACCCCTTAGGGCTGCTTTGGATCAGAGAGCCACCCCCATCCAGACCAGCACTTCCAGGCTGGCTGTTAGACATGCCAAGTCTCTGCTCTGAGGCTTCTAGTCCCTGTTCATAGGGTCATGAACCTAACTGTAGAGCCCTGAATAAATATGCAGCTCTACAGCTCACTGAGCAAAAGTGGAAATATTTATAGAAACTTCCAATCCAGAACACCATGTGTGGTTTTTTTTTCATTTATCTGATTTGTCAAAAAAAATCTGATAATCTACCCCCCCATACACACACACACACACACACACACACCACTATCCCAGTAAATACTGGCAGAAAGGTTACATGGAGGATAGGGAATTCATATGTGGAATTACAGAAGAAATCCAGGAATTTGATCTTCCAAAACCAGTTGCTCCAGGACAAGGCCCATGGCATTTATACCTTTAGTACATAGGTAACCCATGGTGGCTTTGCTTGGGGGAGCAAGACGTCACAAATTTAGTGGAAAGATAACCAGATTCAGGGCTGTGTGTAGATCATTAGTTTGCTTTAATTTTCCTCTGTTAAATGCTCTCTTATTTAAAGATATCTAGAAGTAATACTTTTTCCTTTGAGTACGTTTGAATCTTTTGAAACCTGTTCAGCAAAGTACCAAGGAAGGTAGACCGTAGAAAGAAATTCAGTGTATGGTGCCAGAGTAGGGTATGGCCTGTTGGAAGACAGGTGACTCAGGTAAACATGGGTAAACGTTTCTGATGTACATTGGTTGGAAGTGTTATGGCTGTTCACCTCTCAGTAGTGGATCCCCCATGGTGTCTGGATTCTATAGACTTCTAAGAGTGTGTGTGGTTCCATGTTGGTATTGTGCCTGGCACAGTGAGAAGCGTGTGGTGCCAGTGGGTTTGTGCTTCTGTTGTAGTGTAGACGTCCTGGAATTCAACTCTAGAAAATGCACATTAATATAAATCATCACTTAGTAATACATACACAGGAATGATGATTATAGGGAAGCATGATTCAGGAAAGTAGTGACTTACTCATAAGTATTTACTAAGCACTGTTATGTATAAGACTGTATTCTAGATGCAGCAAGGGGTACAAAATGAAAAAGGGAGAGTGGTGCCTGTCTTCAAGGAGATTAGGATAGAGACAGTATCACAGCAGAGGCATTGCCAGCTCCCCCGTGCTGATTACAAAAGGTCAGTAACATGGGAGGAAGTCACCGTTGCTTACTGAGGAGTTTCTCTAAATTGCAAATCTAAGATCTAAAATTTGGTACCTCTGTCTCTCACACCTCCCCAGGGCAGAAAGGGTCAAGGCCTATTCCATCTGCAGTGGAGAAATGGCTGGCCTCAAGCTGAGGTGGAATTGGTTCCCTGCCTATGTTCCTAGTTGTAAATGGGCTATTTGGCATGTGGTATCTTGTCGACCTTCTCCATTCTAAAGAAATAGAAGACCTCTCCCACTTTGTAGGTCAGTGCACCTTGTTTCCCTGCGTTTTATCTTTTTTTCATGCTAAGGCATGAAATTTAAAATAGATGATCATGTTTTGAGTAATATGTTTTTCTGTATCACATCACATTGCCTTTCTAGAGATCCATAGGAAAAGGGTTTTTTAGGTCATAGTACCAAGAAATGCTCTGATCCTAAGCAAGAACAAAACAGGCTTTATCTTACGAACACTGTGATTTTATAACTTATTACCTTTCCGCTCTTTGTCCTGGGTGCTAGAAAGCTCAACAAAACTGTCCACTGAGCCAACTGCCTAAACCTGTATTTATTTAATTCTGTCCTGTTTCTTTGGAAATGGTCTCAATCCTATTTTTGGAAAGTGGTATAAACAAATAGAGATTTTATTCTCTGATATCTTATCTGAGATATTTAGAACCTGCGCTCGTAATTCCTACCTGGACTTGCATTGACTTCCACAAATACCTCTAATTCTTACTGTTGATTTCGTTACACTTTTGACCTAATTTGTTTATCTGGAGAGAAATACTAGTTTTTTGAAGAGGAAAACATCATACACACATATATAACAGCTCAGGGCAGCCTATCATTATGGAATGAGCTTTAGACCAGAAACCAAAAGAGACAGGTTTGGTCTTGTCATTGTCATTACTGAGTGATGTTTGACAAATCACAGCCTCTCTCTGCTCGAGAAGCTTAACTCAGTTGCCAAGACTGCTCAGGCCCTTGTGTTGGTGAGGCTGTGTGGCGTGTGGTAGAGATGAGGAAGAGGGCATCAGGCCAGGCCCCCCGCCTGGCTCCCCACTGCAGGGAGCCTCCAGGCCATGCTGAGTCTACTTCCTCTTCAGGGAAGGGGTGTTGTGACAGCAAAAGAGCTTGCTAGATAAGAAGGAAGGACACATCACTCAGGTCCAATGGCAGGCAGCCCCCAGGCACCCTGATAGCCACCGGCAGGTAGCTCAGGTGAAGAAAGTCAGTTTTGTGAGGTCTGGTGCCCAGGGACAGACGAAACCAATGATGAGGGCCTGGGGAAGCCCCAAGTGAAAGGAGTGTCTGGGTCACTTGTGTAACTGTAAGCCTCGCCTCTGCCTGAATGCGTTCCAAGACCAAGTATAAATGTATGTCTGTCTGTTGTTTTGTATTAATGTTCACTTAGATGTCTTGAAAACTTATATGTGAAATAAATGCTACAATAAATGGCTCCCTTCGATTCCTGCCATAATTTGAAGGATCTTTTTCTATTTGGGAAAAGAAAATACAGGAAGTTATAAACTCATTTTATAGATAATAAAAAGGGGGGGTATTTCAGTTTTATTCCTGTTCATGTCTGTCCCCCATGACTAACAGGAAGGGATCTTTTGTGAGTCCACAGCTATTCCCACACAGCAGTCCTCTGGTAACTGTCACTGCCATTGTCCCAAATAGTGTTTGGCTCTAACACTAGGGTGGAGTTGGCACTGGCTGGGCATACTGCATGTATTTCTGAGGCGGCACACATCCCCAGCCCAGTGTGGAAGAAATCGTGACAGTTTCCCTCAAGATACAGTCATAGGGGAGGCAAACTTTATGTCTGTACTCCTGTTCTCTGGCTGGACCGAGGATGAAATTAACATAAACCAAACTAATGGCAGAAAAGCCCACAGATGTGTCTATGTGTCTGGGAGTCTCCACGAGAAACGGAGACCTGGGAAGTAGCACAACACAAGCCATTCTGTACCAGATTGAGCAGAAAGGCAGTGGGGGAGGAGCTAGAATACATGGGGAGCCCAGAGGACAAAAAGAGTTATTTTAGGGCTGGGATTGTGGCTCAGTGACAGAGTGCTTGCCTTGCATGTACAAGGCACTGGGTTCGATCCTCAGCACCACATAAAAAAATAATTAATTGTATCCATTTACAACTAAAAGAAAAAAATTTTTTAAAGTTATTTTAACAAGATCTGTACAGAATTCTCTTGGCTCAACTCTCCATCTCTGGTGATAAGAATGTTTCCTCCTGGAGGGGAGAGGACATCTTTCACTTGGAGGCTGTATCTCCTGCTTTCAGAAAGAGGAGGAGTCAGGGCGTCCCTCTTCCGCCTGCTGTTTTTCAAGTGCTTTGAGCTGAAAATATCCTTATGCCAAAAGGGGAACTATTTTGGTGCAGTATGCTCACCACGGTGTTCCTTTTGTCACTGTTTTGGCATAAAAGGAAGAGTTCCAGTGGCTTTCACTCAGCCCTTACCATAATGGTCCCAACCCCAAGGACCATGGAGTCTCTGAAGAGATTTCTCCATTTGCTAAGGGTGTGCCTCCAGCTCAGCTAGGGAAGAAAACTGGAGAGGACCACAGGGTGGGCTCGGAGAGCCAGTTCACCTGAACATGAGGTAAATTCCAGACAAGGTGTCTCTATCTCATAGACTGGTCGCCTCTGTGCAGCTCACTGCAATAGAACCCAAAGACCTCAAGGATCATGCCTGCTCGGGGTCACAGTCTGCAGACTGGAGAGCTAGGCGAGTCCTGGGGTCTTTACTTTCCTTGAGGAAATGGCCACAGACCCTTTTGGATAAAGCCAAGATAAAGCTGGGAGTATTCATTTGCAGTGCCATGTCAGCACTCTTCCCAAGCCACCTGTCCTCACAGAACGTGAAGGCTGTGACCCAAGTCAGATCTGGCAATTAGATGAGACTATAAACCTCTGAGGGGGGAAATCTCTAAGGGTTACAAATGTTCAAGTTCTGTAAATGAGTTGAGGCAACAAGACTTTAAGGAAAGAGAATGAATACTTCACGTTTTAAGCATGAGAAGGAACATAGCCAATCAGAAGACCCTCAACTCCAGGATGGGTCCAGGACACTGGCTTTGGGTTCCAAGACAGGTTCCAAGACAGGCAAATTTCCTAACCCCACCCTGAGACACTGGGACTCGAGGGGAAAGAGGAATATGAGGCTGAGGGACAGCAGATAAGGCCTAAAAGACCTTAAGGGTTGCTTGGGTACCTGAGCAGAAGCTCATGGAGCATGTGGGTGGGCTAGTGTGAGTGTCATGGAAATATGGCTAAAGGAGCCTGCTTCCAAGAAATCTCTGTGTCCTGGACACATGGGTCTCAGCTGGAGCACAGACGACCTCTGAATGGCACATCTGCAGACCCAAGGTTTACACGTTTCTTTATAGCTGGAGTAGATTACCACACTTCCCTCTCAGATTGCCCAAACCCCCAGAGTTCCTGGAGAGCGTGATGAGGGAGAGATGCAGGGCTGTAACAACAAGGGCGGTGGAGATTTAGGACAATTCTGGCAAAAGGAAATGAATCAGTACTTGTACCCAAGGGTCTGGAGCAGAAAGTACATTTCTGTTGCAGTAGAAGAAACCCTAGATTGTGTGTCCAAAACCCTCAATTCTAACTGAATAATAGTCAAATTACTTAGCTTCTCTGGGTTTGGGGATTGGTCAGGATGAATGGTTCCCAACCTTTAGAGTCCTAAAGATCCTTCCTGAAAATAACTGAAAAAACACATGATGTGCCAAGTGCATTTAGAAACTTCTTTACCATGATTCTGATACTTGGAAATTGTAAAGTCTTTAGTTAGATGATAACAATGATACTGCTATCACACTGTGCATTTACTGCATACTAAGCATTGTGCCAAAGCTTTATAAACATGGGGTTAATTCCTACAAGCATTCTGAGACAGTATTTTCATTTTAGAAGTGAAAAGCTGAGGCTGAGAGAAGTAAGTTCTTCAAGCACATGCAGCAAAAAAAAAAAAAAAAAAAAAAGTGATAATTCTGAGATTAAATTTAGACCTTGATCAGGATTCAAACATCATAGCCACCGTATTCGTTACTATAATGTATTTCTAGTTCTAACATCCTAAAATTCTGTGACTTCCTTATTGTTGAGAAAAGGGGAAATGAGGTGGAAGTGAACTTAGGTGATATGGATCAATTTGGGGTTCTACTCTGTGGAGTGAGTGAATTTAGGAGTCACTGGATATTTTAGTCACTTTGCATCCCTGTGATGGAAGACCTGACAAGAGCAATGGAGAGGAAGACACGGGGGTTTTTGGCTCCTGATTTCAGAGATTCAGCCCATGAGTGGCCAGTTCGATAGCTCTGGGCTTGAAGTGAGGCAGAGCATGATGGCAGAAGGGCATGGCAAACAGGAAGCAAAGAGAGAGAGAGAGCTGTGCTCGCCAGGGACAAAAAAATAAACCCCAAAGACCACCCCCCCACACTTAATTTATGAAGCCATACCCTACCTGACAACAGTTACCAAATACAAATACAAAAAAAAAAAGAGTACTTTTTTTTGTATTCATTTCCTGTGGTTGCTGTAACAAATTGCCACAAACTTGATGGCTTAAAAGGACAGAAATATATTCTCTCATAGTTCTGGAGACACAGCAGTTGGAAATTGAGGTGTCAGCAGGGACATGCTCCCTCCAAAGGCTCAAGAGAAAAAGTCTTCCTTGCTTCTTACAGCTCCTAGTGACTTCCTGATGAGGTCTCCTGACGGTATCACACCATCTCTGCCTCCACTTTCATGTGGACTTCACTGTACACAGTGTCTGTGGGTGTCATTTTCTGTGTCTCATAAGGACACTATTGTTGGACTTAGGCCATCCTAATCTAGTAGGATTGCATCTTGATGTTTACCTTAGTTTTATCTACAAAGACCCCATTACCAGGTGAGGTCACAGTCTGAGGTTAGCATGGACATGAATTGCAAGGACACCATTCAGTCCTCTACACTGCCTCATAGGACTGTGGCAGGGAGTGAAGGACACTATGCATGTCAAGCACTCGGTGCAGGCCCTGATACACAGCAAATGCTCAGAGAGTCCTGGAGAGGAGCATCGTGTGTGTGGGTGCCTGCGTGTACATATCACTGACTTATTATTTACTACATTAGTCAAAGGTTTCTTTCATTGTTTAGGTGAATGAAATAGTGACATTTCTTACTAAGTCTTCTAAATTTGCTTATTTCTAACTTTCTCATATTATTTACTTCCTTTCTCTATCTTTTATGGTTGTTATTCTTCTGGTTTGTGTTTTTTTCCTCTCAGAATTTTTGCATATTAAGACATATGTATATAGGATGTATATACATAGAGAGAGGGAGGGGGAGGTACATAGATCATATAACATCCGTGTGTGTGATGTCTCTGCACATTCTAATCGCTGTCTGTTATAGGACACAGGGGCACCGGCAACTCTACCAGCTCTGCTTCGCAGTCCCTTGTAGGATTAGGCAGGTTTTCCCAGTGACCAGTTCTTCATTTCTACTCCAGTGAGTATGTTGCTCATCTTGTAGAATTGGGTGAATGTTTTATTGTTGATGATTTTTCCCTGGCTCTTCTTTATGGTGTCATAATGATTAACTTTCATAAATGACTCATTTCTTTTTATTGATGCGTTACAATTACGTAATAGTGGGATTGAGTGTGACTTACCACACAAGCACATGATTTGGTCAATTTCATTCCCCTGCACCTCCCCTTTCCTCTCCTCCTTTCTCCCTGATATCCCCTCTCTCTACTCTGCTGGCCTCCCTTCTATTTTCATAACATGCCTTTCCTCCTTTTGACATATAGATTCTTTTATTTTTTTTATTTTGTTGTTGTTGTTGTTGATGGACCTTTATTTTATTTTATTTATATGCAGTGCTGAGAATTGAACCCAGTGCCTCACACATGCTAGGCAAGTGCTCTACCCTTGAGCCCCAGCCCGACCCATGGGTTCTTAAGAGAAGATACACCCTGCACTTGAAAGGCATGAAGCTCAGGTTGTCTTTCTCTCCCTTCTTATGCTTTCTACTCATGTCTCCCACTCAAATACCCCATCTCTCCAGGCCTGTGCTCAGGATTCTGCTTCCCCAGGAAACTCTTGCATCTCTGCCCCACCCCATCGCCCCCCCCCCAACCCAGCTGGCATGCAGTGACAGGATTGATCTGTGTCCCCGCAGCACTGGGCCTTCAACCAAGTCTTGGACTCTGCATTGGTCTTCCAGCAGGGTCCTGAGGAGCTGCTTTGGAATTGAGTCTGATTAGGGTCCAGGTGGGCTCTGAGCACCCAGATGGGTCTGGCTAAGTGACGCAGGCATTCCCAAGTACCTGCACTGGCACTGGAAGCTGGGCTCTGCTGGACTTAGCCAGACTGGACAGTCAGCACCCCACTTTGAAAGTTTACTTTGTCCCCAGCAGTGCCCACTTCTCCAATGAAAGGCAAGCCAATAGACACAGGGAAGAAAAGACTAGACTCTTTATTGCAAAGTTAGATTAGCAGCTTGGGAAGCAAGGAAGTGGTCAGGCTCCAGAAGGCCCTTGTAACAGAGGAATCAAGGGACAATCCAGGAAAGAGAAAGGGGGTGTGAAGGGCTGAGAGTGTGGCCTGGAGCACTTGCCTAGCATGTGAGAGACCCTGGATTCTATCCTAACACTGAAAAACTAACAAAAATAATGTGAAGGAAGGAAGGAGAGATGGAGGAAGGCAGACAGGAAGGAAAAGGCGGGGAAATGAGCTGATGTACATAAACGGCCACTTAACTGCTCTCCTGCTCCTGGGACTTGCCCTCTCAAGAAAAACACTGTGCTCTTTTCATCTCTTTGGGAAGTGCTGGCAACGCCTTTCCTAGGCTGAGGCCTCAGATGGCCACAGAGCAATTCCAAAACATAGAGCATCCTTGGGCCTTTGTGGTAGTTTGTCTGTCTGTCTGAGAAGCCAGGCCCAAGTCATTAGCAGCAGGTCATTTGCTCTGGAAGGAAGCACAGAAACTGTCTTGTCCTTAGCCCAGAATGGGGCAGCTGAAGGCATAGGGGCAGCAGTTGTGCTTCATCGTCCCTTTAGGATTAGGCGGGTCTTCCCATCTCCAATGAGGAGCCTACAGAGAGAAAGATGGTACCGTGAGCTCTCTGAGCCCTTGGAGGAAAGACCTCTCACCATGTCTCCAGCCCAGAATCGCAGGATCTCTTCCTGAGCCTCTCCAGCCTTAGCAGTAACCCCTTGGGGACAGGGACACACTGGAGGTGCTCACTGCCGCCATTCTGAAAGCATCAGAAGAGAAGGGCAAATGATGCTTTTCACTTGAGCCACAGGAGGGTCTTGAGGTCTCTGGGCTGCCGAAGGCAATGGTGTGAGCATCAGCCCAGCCCATGCCTGTGCCCTCCCAGACAGTGCCATCCAGAGCAGAAGGAACAGGATGTAAGAAGAGAGCCGAAGGCTGGGGCTGGGGCTCAATGGTAGTACACTTGCCTGGCATGTGTGAGGCACTGGGTTTGATTCTCAGCACCCCATATAAATAAATAAAATAAAGGTCTATCAGCAACTATATCTATAATATATAATATATATACAGAGAGAAGGAGAGATCAAGCAAGATGGAAGGGGACTCTAGCTCTTTCTGCCTGGAGTCCACTTATCCTTCTGACAATATCAACTTTATTAACCATTGCACAATTCCAGGGAGCACTGCCCACACTGTATTTTATGTGAATGGCATCTCCTGGCATGATGCCCTTGGGGACACCATTTACATGGAGGGGCCCTCTGAGGTTGTACAACAGCCCCATGGGGAACTGCTGCTCCCCTACTCTCGGCCCTACCAGCAGGTGGTCAGGTAATCAGGCTCTGCCCCACTCCAGGGCACACCCGGCTCAGCCTGCAGACACAATCACCAAGAGTTGCAATCCTCTTGGCTGCAGTGATTGATTAAGGGGTGGACACCATGCTGGAAAGACCACACCAGTGACCATCAGACACAGGGTTTTAGCTAGAGCTGTCCTCCTCCTCTGGAGTGGTCAAGCTGCTAGAACATAAAGGCCGAGTGGTCTGTGGGCAGCTGTGCCTCCATTGGAGAGCCTGTCTCAGCAAAGCCACACAGAGCAAAGTGGAGCCCATGAGAAAGCCCAGATCCTAAGGACTCTATCTGAGCACCACTGAAGCCAGCTCCAGCTGTGACTTCTCAATCATGACAACCAATGGATCCTCTCCTAGGGAATGGATTTCTGTGACTTGCAGCTAAAGGTCCTGGGTGAAAAGGTCTCTGAAGAAGGTTCCATCTTTCCTTCTCCAAGCCCTTGTGAGAGAGTCCAGCCCTCTAGCCTTGCGTTCTCTGGGAACTGTCCCCAGGGGGCCCATTAGACAGGCCCTGGCCCTGGGCCACACTCCTACCTGATGAGCAGTCCCACGAGCAGGCCAGCCAGGAGTGGGCCCAGCCAGTAGATCCAGTGGAAGCTCCAGTGGTTGGCCATCACAGCAGGTCCAAAGGCACGAGCTGGGTTCATGCAGGCTCCAGAGATAGCACCCCTACAAACATAGCCACACGTCACCAGAGCCCCAGCCAGGCCCACTCTCCTCAGATCCCCAGATAGGCCCAAACAACAGCCCACCCAGAAATCTTTCTAACTTCCCATATCAGGAGCTCCCAGGCAGATCCCAGGGAAAGCAGAGGACTGTTCACTCTAAGAAACCCAAGACGTGGCTTCTCCCTGGACATACAGCCTGCCACTCCCCACTCACTCTTCTAGAAGAGTGACGGGCAAAGAATTCCTACTGCAGGAAATAAAAACAGATCAAGTTTCTCTCTAAGTCCGTAAAGCAAAGCCAGTCTGTTGTCAACCTATTTGGAGTCACGCTGCCCTGGACCTGCTAGGTCTAGCTGTGACCTCGGTTTAACCTCTCTGTGCTCCCAGCCCAGCTGGATGGAGAACTCTCTGTGTCTCCAGTGAAGTGGAAGGACCCTCCAAAGGTGGTCTGCAGGAGTAAGTAAGGAAATGCCCACAGAGCCCATGCCTCAGCAGCCTTGTGCCAGTGGGAGCTGTAATCCAGCTGGCCGAGCTGAGGCCCTTTGCATCCACACCTGGGGCCCAGAAACCTGGGGGACCACTCCCCAGGAGCATCTCTCTAGCTCTGCTGTCTGCAGCTTTACCCTAGGCACTCAGGCTGGGATTCTGAAGCCCTCATCCCTCCCGTGCCCAGTAGCCAAGGTCAAGATCCAATAAGCTTGCAAGTGAAGTGAGTGCCACAAGGGGGCAGCAAAGTACCGCCACCGCTCGATACACACCATCCCAGTTAGCCCTAGACCACCCCTCCTGACCTGGAGAAAGGCTAGAGTTGGTTCTGTGTCCAAAAGAAAGGAAGAAGTTGGAGGTTAGGAAGGAACCTAACCCCTCAGCAGATGTGGGCTCTTGTTCTCAATCTGTCACTTGACTTGCCATTGCCCAGTGACATTAAATAAGTCACTTCTGTCCTCACTGAACCTCAGTTGGCCTCATCTTTAAAATGGGAGTAATCTCTGGCCCAGCTTTGTCTCTCAATGCCTTCCCACGATTTCCAAAAGGCCCAAAATAGAGACGTGGGTGTGGACACTCCTTATGTGCCTGAGACTGCAGCCTGCGGGGATGTTATTCACCATACAAAACATTAGAGAACTTTCTTCTGACTTTCCTTGAATGCAACTGGAAGGGTCACCCCAGATCACCTTGTCCCAGAGCCTCCTAGTTACCACAGTCCCCACCACTCCCTATTACTGCCCAAAGCCAACCCGTTGTCCCCATCTGCAACACCTTCCTAGTAGTCCCTACTGGCAATTAATGAGTGACCCTCAGGCCTGATCCCCTGAGGCACGACCCAGATCTGGGCATGGTGGTGTCTGTGCTGAGGGACACCCACCCTGCCAGGATATCCACGGTGACCGAGAAGCCAATGCAGAACGGGGCCAGAGAGCCGCGCGTCTTCTCGTTGATGGCGCCCATGCACACGGCCAGTACCAGCAGTGCTGTCAGGATGATCTCCGCCCCCAGCGCCGCCCCCACCTGCCTCTGCTCCTGGACTGTCACAAAGGCGGCCCCAGAGGCATTCCAGAACCTCTCCTCAGGACTCACCACCTGCAGAGAGAAGCCACTCAGTCTCACAGGGGGTCGAAGAGAAGCTGGGAGCCAAGCAGAGGGGGCCCATGATCCAGGCCTGCCCACCCTGGGAGCAGGGAGGCCCAGAATGCCCTCTCCAGACAGGGAAATGGCCGCCGCCTCCTGTGGAGGCAGGCAGAGGCCAGGGCAGGGGAAGACAGCAAAACTCGGAACTCGAACCCAAAGTCTGGACTGGGCTACGCTAAAAGGTCTCCCATCCTCCCCAGCACACCCACACACACACACCACACAAGTCCACACCTTTAAGACCTCTGGCTGAACAGACTCACGGGCAAAAGAAGGGAGAGGAGAGGAGCCCACCCCTGGAGCTCTATGTAGAGCTGTACAAGTCCTGGGGTTCAGGCTATGGGGTGGCTCATTGGTAGCACACTTGCATGTCATGCCCGAGTCCCCGAACTCCATCCCCAGCATGAAAGAAAAGAGAAGAGAAAAGAAAGAAAAAGAAGAGCTAGATTGATTGAATGGGAGGATTTATTATTATTATTATTTTTTTTTTTTTTTTTTTGGTACCAGGAATTAAACCTACGGTCACTTATCAGAGAGCCCCATCCTCAGCCCTTTTTATTTTCTTATTTTGAGACAGGTTCTCACTTAGTTGCATAGAGCCTCACTAAGTTGTTAAGGCTAACCTCAAACTTGGGATCTTCCTGCCTCAGCCTCTCCAGTTGCTGGGATTTCAGGCAGGCACTACCACACCCAGCCAAATGGGAGAGTTTTAAACAAAAATTGAGTATCGATTCCTGAAGAACACAGAGGCATTCACTCAGGAATTTTTCCAGGAGGATAACCATATTTACCCTGTGTCCTCATCCAGAGCTTTGTGAGAAATGTATAGAATTAAGAAGTGAATGAATTTAAAAACCACTAGAACCATCCAAATCCATTCCAAAGCCAGAAATAGGCTCAGAAAGAGAAATGTTAAGCCATGAATTTGCTTCCTGATCTGTCCAGGGAAGAGCTGTGTCTACATATGAATGGAAAAAGGTAGGTTTAGAGGGAGCCAAAGGTCCATGGAGTGTCCCCTGCTCCAGAAGAAAAGGGCCACCCAATTCCACTGACAGACATAAACAGAGAATTGGACATTTCCCAACTCCCCCACCCCTGCACCCCTCCAGCAGCCCCACAGGAATCATCCCAGCCAGCCCAGCCCCCTTGGGCATCACCCACCTTGGCCAAGGCGGCCCCAATCAGCCCCCCACACAGCTGAGATAGCCAGTAGGGAAGAAGCATGATCACGTTGAGGCCTCCAATCAGCATGGCCGCCAGCGACACCGCAGGGTTGAAGTGTCCACCACTGTACACCACAAAAGCAGAAGAAATCATGAGGCCCAGGTCCAGAGCTGACCACAGGCTGCCCCGAGAGAGATGTCCCAGCCAGTCCCTCAGGCTGGCTTCCCAGGGCCAGAGTCAGTCCAGGCCCTGACCCAAAGACAAGTACCCCAAATCTCTCCCCTTTCCCTGAGGTGCCAGATGCTAGGGCGAGGGGTCGGGGGAGGTGGGAAGGGAGGAGCTGCCCCTCAGCCCGCCCCAGGAGGGCCCAGAGGAAGAACATGTAGGGATTCCTAGACTCCATCAGGGCCATTGCCAGGGCCTGAACAAGAGCACATGGTTGACCTGTTCAGCCAAGATCAACCTTATGTTTGGTCTGCAAGTGTAATGAGTATAAAATCAAGATTAGTTCAGGCTGGAGATGGCACTGAGTATTGGGGAGGGGTTAGAGGTTTAGATCAGGTTAGGAACTGGGAGTTTGGGATGTGAGTGAGAGATGACAAGTCAGGGTTAAAGGGCAAGTCTGGTTGACTGCCCACTCTAAGAAGGAACTATTCCCAGAGCTTGACCCATTAAATCCCTCAGGTCCCCAGGAATGGAACCTCCCCTAAGAGGGAAAGTGGCCCCAAGACCCCACCCATGTCACACAAGAGTCAAAGTGCCCCTCAAATATTAAGAGCCACCAGCAGGCCTGCCTCCTCCCCAGTGGACCCAGGACATGGAGCTGAGGCTAGACAAGGATGTTGGCTCTGCACAAAAGGACTCTGTCCAGCACCCTGGTACCTCAACACCAGCTGCCCCCAACGTGTCTGGCCCAGCCTGACCCCCAGGCCCCCAGGAGCTTCCAATGCAGAAGCACCAGCAGATGCTCAGATGTGAGTTGGGAAGAGGGGCCCCCCTGGCCCACTTGGCTTGAGACAGATGGGGGTGAAAGAGTCAGACCCCTCCCAGGCCATCAGCTCCCCTTCTGTCTTGGCACCTGGTCCAAATGGCCAGGAGAAAAGCTGTCACTGAGAGCAAGGCTCCATCGGGACAGGCCTGGGCACCTGAGGGCCACACGTGCTCCCTGGACCAAGTTTATACTCCTTGACTGTAAACTAAGCAAGACACTTTCTTAGTTCTTTCAGTCATTGCTCACTTGGCAAATATTTATTGAACATTCACTACATGCCAAGTACCGTGCTGGGTGCTTTACACACCTTATCTTGGCTCCAGTCAACAACCTCAAAGTCCATACCTGGTCCACAGGAACGGCTGAATAAATATTCTTTGAAAAACACCAGTGATTGAATAAAAGGTCAGTACTACAAATATGATCTGCTGCAGGGCCTGAGAGATGTTCCCAGCTGGCCTGGCCTGGGTTCACTCCCTAGCTCTGCTGAAGAGCTGTGTGGCCTTGAGCAAGTTACATAACCTCTCAGTGCCTCAATAATCTCTCCCTGATACGGCTGTTGCAAAGACGTAATGAATTCACATGTGTCTAGCACCCTGCACTGTCTATGGAGTTGGTGCTCAATGAACATCAGCTGTAATGATTTTCCACACGTACAGCGCTGCACACAGAGAAGTTAGTGGCTGGCCCTGGTCACCCAGCTAAGAAGTGACAGAAGTTCTATTCAACCCCAGGTGTACCTACTGAGAGATCAGGTGCTCTTCCACCCTCAGCTTCCCACGGACATTTACAAAGGTATTAAATTTCTCTTTCCATTCTGGTTTCCCCAGAAACTATATTTCAATTTCCTCACTCAGATCTATTTCTTGAGTGAAAGTAAATACAGACCAACCAGTCCCAAATCACCCTGCCAGGTGTCCTTTGCAAGACAGCTATCACTACAGATGACTCCCCCGGGAACACCCCACCCTCAGCCCTCCCCAGGGAGCGCCCATCCAGATGAGAACTAGGACACGGGCCACCTCCCTGCTCCCTGCCCTCCCCCAGGACCCCCGCAGGCACCTGTGTACCCCAGTACTAGCCCACCTCCTAATAGTAACAGTGACACAGCAATCAGGGTTGACACAGCCTCAGGTGTGACAAGCGCCTCATGTTCCCCTTAGGAGGCCTGTGGGTTTGGGCGCTGGAGCTGGACAGCTTAGCCTCGACTCCTGCTCCACCGCTTTCCAGCCCTGCAGCCTTGGGCAGGTTACGTGGCCTTTCTCTTGCCCAGATGTAAAATAGGGGACCTGCCCCACAAGGTCACCATGAGGATTAAATGATCAGTATCTGCAAAGTGCTTAGGATAGTGCCAGTACATGGTTAGCCATATATAATGTTGGCTTGAAAAATCATTTGAAAAGTATATTATTCCCATTTGATAGGTGGCGAACTTTGGTTTCAGAGACTGGCCTGAAGCCACGGGGTTTGTGGTCTGCACAGCCAAGATGGGCCAGGCGGTCTGACCTCCGGCCTACACGTTCTGCAGCACCCTGAGCGTGTGCCACACGCCCAAGGGTCCCTGCCAAGAGCTTTGCTCCCCACCTGACCCCCAGCTCCCCAAGTCAGCCCCAGGCTGAAGGCTCAGCCTTGGTCTCACCTGATGTTCCCCAGTATAGCGATGATGAGCCCCAAGGCCAGCCCGTGGGCCAGGGCCGGCTGCAGCCGCCCAGTGTCTGGCCCATTCTCGATGACTGACAGGCACCCGATGAAGATGAAGAGGGCAGAGCCCAGCAGCTCCACCAGGCAGGGCTGCACAAACCGCTCGAACCAGGACGTGCGACACCTGACGCTCATGCTCAGCTCCTTCACCTTGCCACCACCAAGCTCAGTGTCACACATAGGTGCCTGCCGTAGGGGAGAGGGGAGAGGAGGTACGGGTGGGAAGGCAGCCAGACAGAGGCCTCTGCCCCCAACCTGGAATGCCCTCTCTCGGCCACCCCTCACCCGCCGGGCTGGGGCAGAAGATGTGGCCTGCGCTCACCTCTCCAGACATCAGGGAGAAACAGCCCAGGGCCTGGGCCCTGCCAGAGCTGCTGCCAAGCCGCACCTGCTGTCCCGCGCGCGCTTAGCTTGGGGACCAGGTCCTCTGATCCGCTACAGGCTCTGCCTCTTTTAAAGGGTGACAGAAGCTCACTGAAGGTGTCAAGAGAGCAATAAAGCCTGCGTGGGAGGTGGCCCTGAGGCCCAGAAAGGAAACTTTATTTATCTCCCCAGGACTGGGTGGGGAGGGGGTCAAGGATTGCTGGGCTCCCTGCCAAGCAGGGCAAAGGTGCTGAGTGCCGGGTGCTGGCCTGCTTGCATCATCGGAGGCTCTGGCTCCAGGCCCTGCTCTGTAGGAGATGGAGGGGCCCAGCACCCAGTCCCCCCCCCAAAGGCGACAAGCTTATGTAAATAGCGCGAAGAGGCCCCACAGATCGGGAGCCGCACTTGCTAAGTGACAGACTCCCCTTCAATCATTTGTCCATCTTCTACCTGAGGCCCGGACCCCTGCGCTCCCTTCACAGGTTGATCCCACACGGAGAGTGTAAACGAGGCAGTGGAGACAGGTGGCACTGTAGCGTAGTGGTAAAACCCGTGGACTTTCTGGACCTTTCTGCTGTGTTCTGTTTCCCCCTTTGGTCCTGGGGTTGAACCCAAGGCCTCGTGCCCATGAGCACACACTCCACTGAGCCCCAGCCCAGCCCACACGGCCTGGATTTAAATCCCAGCTCTGCAGAGACCTCGCCTGTAACCTTGAGCAGGTTGCTTAACCTCTCTATACCTTCATTTTTAAATCTCTGGATAATAGAGAGATAACCAATATTGTAGAATCCTTATGAGGTTCAAACAAGTTAGTGTCTGATAACTGCTCAGGACAGTGCCAGACCCATGATAAGCACAATACCCCTATTCATTCATCCATTGAGAATATACTAATAAAAATGATATCAAAATACCAGTATCCATTAATTTAAAATCCGTAGTTAGATGTCATTACTATTTATGGAGTACTTTCTATATGCTAAATGCTGGGTTAAGGACCTGAAGGCATGACCTCATTTTAACCTCACAACAACTCCATAAGGTAGGGGTAAAATGAATTTCTCATTTTACAATCTTTTATGATTGTTAACTCATGGGCCGTCATAAAAGGACATTGTGATTCAACTTTTATAAGGCACCCAGAATAGTCACTTTATAGGTACAAAGAGTGGAATGATGGTTCCCAGGTCCTGGAGGGGAGAGAGTCTGGGGTGTTCATGTCTAACGGGTACTGAGTTTCTGTCTGGGAAGATAAAAGTATTTTGGAGTTGGATGATGGAGATGGCTGCAAAGCTCTGTGAATGAACTTAATGTCTCTAAACTGTACACTTGGAAATGGTTATGAAGGTAAATTTTATGCTGTGCATAGTTTGCCACTATTGGAAAGAAAAACTACTTTGTAGGCTAAGCCACTAGATTCCATTACCTTGAATGGATGGATGGATGGATGGATGGATGGATGGATGATAGATGGATGAATGATGGATGATGGATGGGGAGAGGGAGAGAGAAAACAACGTGATATGTGTTTCCTTACCCATTTATCCAATAAATACCTAAATTGTCACTGGGAGTCTATCACTCTTCCAAGTTGGCTGGAAATGAAGCCATAAACAAGAAAGGCAAAGATTTCACTTTGTGTTCATAGCTATTGTCTGAGTGTGCGTATGAGAGATAGTTGGAGAAATGAGGTTAGTGTAAGGGAATTTTATGATAATTGTTTCCATCCTGGATGGCTCACTACGCAGCATGCTAAGCCAGCTGCCTCCATTCACCACAGCCTAGGAGATATGCCGTTACTCATTATCCCCATCTTCAGATGATAAAAATGCAACACAAAGAAGCTAAAGAATTTGTCCATGGTTGTGTAGATTCAAAGTATCTGCTTCGGGACAGAAGTGGACAAGGGTTTGACAGTCTGTTGGCTGCCTGGTCAGCCAGGAACCCCAGGACTCCAGGCCTCCCTTGAACATCTGTGCATCCTACAAGTTTCAGGACCTGCTGTCTTACAGATATCTTGAGTCTGTCCTCTCCCTCCGCACAGCCCACAGACACTGTACGAAAGGTTCTCAAGCTTCCTTCCACACCCCCGTCTCCTGCATCCTTTGCCCAGGCCCTTCCACTGGGGCTTCCAGTACAATCCTCTCCTGTTTTCACCCAGGCCTTTGTCACTTCTTGCTCGGAAAAACCAAATTAACATTCATCACACGCCTGCACTGGACTCCTCAGTTCATCCTGCTGGCTTCCTCATCTCACAGCTAGGAGCTCCCTGCTAGCATCGTTATAACTCCTAAGCTGGTCTCCGTCTCACCCAATTTTCATTTATCTGTTTCATACTGGAAGCCAGCAGGGTACAACTTAACAGTCCAGACTGGGGGGATCAGAATGCTCTGCCCTTCACTTGCTATCTGCTCTGTCAGTCTCAGTTTCCTCTTCTCTAAAGGTGGACTAACAATGCAGAGGTCTGTTTGTGGCTGAAATGAGAAAATGCATTTAGTACAGACCCCAACAAATTCAGAACAAGAACCCAATGAACAGTAGCCATTGTTATGGTTTGTATTAGGCTAAACTAACTGCTACAACAAATATCCCCATCAACATTAATGCCTTAACATAATAAAAAGTGATTCCATTGTTCACACAACGATCCATAGCAGGACGTCCACCAAGCGGTGACTCAGGGAGTCGGGCTACTTCCATCCTGGAGATCCACTACTGGGATCTTTGGATCTTTGCTAAGCCATAGGGAAAGAGAATATTGCTATGGGCAAGGCCTAGAAAGAGCAAATACCCTTTCCAGCCATTCTTGATGGGCTAGAACTTGGTCACGTGGTTTCATCTGTCTGTAAAAGAAGCTGAGAAATGCAGTCCAGCTGTGTGCACAGGAGGAAGAAGAAAGGCGTGGTAGGAATACCAGGAAATTTCTGCCTCATGATAGTGGCAGTTCCCCAGACTGTTGATCTAACTGAGTTACAACATTTCAGTGTCTCGATAGTTTCAGGGGAAAACCAAACTCCCTTGGCTCGTCACAGACCCCAGTCCTAGCCCCTGATCCACTTTTTGTCTCATGAACCTTATGCAGTTTACCAGATTAGTCAGATACCCTGGGCCCTCCTGGCCATGCCCCTCTCTCTCTTTGAAGTCCTCTCTTGCCCTCTTGGCCAACTTCTCATTCAAATCTCAGATCACGTATCACGTCCTCCCTGGCACCTGGGTCAACTAGATGATAATCCTCCAACCATGTTCCTCCCTCATCCAGAGCCAAAATGGACTCCACCGCTCCCAGCACAGTGAATCTCCAGAGGACATCTGAATGTCACTCAGGTACATGAGAATTTTTCCATGGCCTGATGTCCTCATACACAATGTACTGGCCATCCCAAGTCACTGAAACACCTAATACCTAGAGAGACAGTGTTTTCCTAAGGAATTCTTTGGTTGCAAACCTTCCAGTCTCCTAATCTCTGGTCGGCATGACCAAGGCCTCTAATTTTAATCCCTGTTCAGGTGGTAATCATTCAAGATGTCTCCACAGTCTACCACCAAGTCCAGACGGAGTCTAAAAGATGGTCCCATTTTATCCTGCCATATTACCCTTCCCCCATTTCTTTCATTCACAGCTTCTTGCAAGTGCAAGAATGTGGTGCTGGTGCTCTGGCAGCCATCTTGAGACTATGAGGTGCAACTTACCATTGGGTAAATCCTTGACAACGACATCACCAAGCCACCAGACCAACACCCAGACCAGACCACCTACTCCAGACTTGTTAAATTAGTCTGCAGGAATTTTTCAAGATGGCAGATGAGAGGATATCGCTTTCCTGGCTGTTCTGTAGAGTGAAACCAAGAAAACAGGCAGTTTCTCAGAAAGGTGAGTAACCAAAAGGGGTAGGCGGGTGGACTTTACTGGAACTTAAAACTGTGCATTCAAAACAGATCAGGGACTCAGGAGGCTGGGTATAATAAAATAAGGAAGAAATCCCCAGCAACACAACCACTGTCATGGTTGGTCCAAAAGCACCAACCAAAGTGGTCCTTCAAGAGCAAAGTGAAGGATAAGGGAATTAAAAGAACCCCCATTTTTAGGAGACTTGAGGCATATTGGGTGCAGAACATTTAGAGATCAAGGACACTGAGTGATTAAACTGCACAATATCTTTGTGAGGGAAAGACGCCACCATCTCTCCAGGTAGTGTGTGGAGGACGAGAGATGGAACTGTTTTGCAGTCATGGCTTGGGGGTCGGCACCTGAGGGAGACAATTCCTGGAAAACCTGAGTTTGGCCCAAAATATAGGCTCAGTAAATACACACTGCACCCCATAAAGTGTGCTTAAGTGACCAGGAGAAAATCGAACATGGAGAGAGGTCTACAGAGGGGACAACTGGTTGTGGGAACCCACTACCCCTACCCCTCCCACTCAGCTATCTGCAGGACTGGCTAGGAGAGATGCATCTGGCCAAGAACTTGGAATGGTGGAGATGGGAGAAATTGTTTGGAGACTGAACCCAAGATCAGGAAACGTGGGGTCTGCAGGTGATGTGGAACCCAGGGGAGATCCCTGGGGCACAGTCTTCCGGCGTGGATCAGCAATTACTGGGTGCTGGGGGTGCACTGATTTAAAATCTCCAGACCAATTGGCATTCAGCAAAGAGCCTGGAGCCCACCTAAGCCTAAAACTGCTTCCAGGAATTCCTCCTACAGGATTGCCTCTCTCACTCCAGCAATCCAGAGGGAGGAGCATCACACTCCACCGGCCTCATCTAAACTGCTGAGAAGAGACGCTGAGAATATTTTGAACTCCAACTAAAAGAATTCTTTAACTTTTCATTGAGATTTTTTTCTCCTTTCTTTTTTTCTTTTTTCTTCTTTCTTTTTGTGTTTAATTGTGACCTTAACAGTACATGGACATTTATACATACTCATACTTGTTTTTTTTTTTCTCATGTCTAGCTATTATAAAGCCAGTTATTTTTCATGGATCAGTTTTTTGAGGATTTGGATGTTTGACTAGTACATTGTAGTTTTCTTTTGTATTACTTTATTTTTATTCTTTTTTAAATTTTTACTTCTATATATTTTTCTCTTACCTGTTTCCCTTCATTCTCTTTCTCTCTTTTCTTTCTCTCTCTTTCACCCTTCCTTTAATTTCTTACTTCTATCTTCTCTCCTCCTCCCTCATAATTATCACATCCTGTGTCATTTCTGTTCCCTCCCTGTCCACCATTTGAAATGGTAAACCGTTTTGCAAACTTGCTGTTTTTAGTGTAGGAAATAACTAATCATATCGTTTCTGTTTATTGTGATAATTAACATTGAAGACATCATAGTCAGAACTATCTGGTTTATTGTTATATATTGTTTGCATTAGCTGTTACTATTTGTCTCCCCCTAAATTGTGAGGTACTGGAAACCTTCAGGGACACTGTGAGTCCACAGAGTAGAAACTCTGCTACGTCAAATTCATACTGATAGATGGGTAAACAAACAAATAACATGAAAAACCAAGGGAACAAATCACCCCAACAAACCAAAATACTCCAATCAAGGATCTAATGACACCACAGTGGAAGAGAAGGAATTTAGAATGTACATGGTCAAACTGATCTGCAAAGTAAAGGATGATGTAAGGAGTGAAATCAGAAAGAAAATACAGGAAGTGAAAGATCACTTCAATAAAGAGATAGAGATTCTGAAAAAAGTCAAGCAGAAATCCTCAAAATGAAGGAATCAATAAACCAAATTATGAATTTAATGGAAAGCATCACCAGCAGATTAGATCACTTGGAAAACAGAGTTTCAGGCAATGAAGACAAAATATGTAATCCTGAAAACAAATTTGACCGTGGAGAAAAGATGTTAAGAGACCATGAACAGAACTTCAGAAATATAGGACAACCTGAAAAGACCAAGTTTAAGATTTATGGAGATAGATGAAGGCTCAGAGATACAAACCAAAGGAATTCATAATCTTTCCAATGAAATAATATCCGAAAATGTCCAAAACCTTAAGAATGAAATGAAACATCAAATACAGGAGGCTTACAAGATCCCAAATATGCAAAATTACAACAGACCCACATCAAGGCACATTATTTTGAAAATGCCTAACATACAGAATAAGTATAGAATTTTAAAGGCTGCCAGAGGAAAATGGCAGTTAACATTTAGAGGAAAACAATCTGGATCTCAGCTGATTTTTCAACCCAGACCCTCAGAGCTAGAAGGTCTTAGATAATATACCAAGCTCCGAAAGAAAATGGATGCAGGCTGAGAATACTATACCCAGCAAAATTAAGTCTCAGAATTGACGATGAAATAAAAATCTTCCATGATAAATAAAAGTTAAAAAAATTCACAACTAGAAAGCCTGAACTATAGAACATTCTCAATAAAATATTTTATGAAGAAGAAGTGAAAACCAGCAAATGGAGGAGCTATATTAGACTAGTCAATCAAACAAGAAACTAATTCAAAGTAAAAAAAAAAAAAAAAGAAAGAAATCAAAATAGAAGGGAATAGAAATCATTTCTCAATATAACACTGAATGTAAAAGGCCTAAACCCATGAATCAAAAGACATAGATTGGATTGAGAAAATAAGACCCAACAATATGCTGTCCTCAAGAGACTCACCTCATAGGCAAAGACATCCACAGACTGAAGGTAAAAGGATGGGGAAAAAAACATATCATTCACAAGTATTTAGTAAACAAGCAGGGGTTTCTATCCTCATATCAGATAAAGTGGACTTCAAGACAAAGTTAATCAGAAGGGACAGAAGGACATTTCATACTGCTTAAGGGAATCATACAACAACAAGACATAACAATGTAAATATTTATGCCTCAAACAATGGAGCATCTGCATACAAAACAAACCCTTCCCGGTTTCAAGAGTCAAATAGACCACAACACAACAATACTGGGTGACTTTAACATGCCTCCGTCACTACTGAACAGATCCTCCAAACAAAAACTAAATAAAGGAGTTACAGAGCGGCTGGGATTGTAGCTCAGTAGAAGAGTGCTTGCCTAGCACATGTGAGGCACCAGGTTTGATCCTCGGCACCACATAAAAGTAAATAAAAGAAAGGCATTGTGTTTATCTACAACTAAAATAAATTTTTTTAAAGAAGCTGTAAAACTAAAAAAATACAATTAATAATTTAGAGTTTACAGAAATATATAGAATATTTCATCCATCAATGACCACATACACTTTCTTTGCAGCAGCACACAGATCTTTCTCTAATATAGACCATGTTATATAAGCTATCACATATGTTGGCATTCAATTGTCATATTACCTTAATTTATTTTTAGCATCTGTGCGGTTATTTTGTTAGCTCCCTTTCCACTGATATTTAATTTTTGTGTCCTTGCTTTTTTCTTGATTAGACTTGATTTTTATCAACTTTTAGCTGTATTATTTCTCCTCTCTGTCTCCTATTTCTGCCTAATTGGAAAATAATCTGATTGTGAATCTAGCTTCTTTCTGATACAAGTACTTTAAGTTATAAATGTTCATCTGAGTACTGTTTCATCCCAAATTCTGATATTTTAAGCTTTTGATTGTCACTTAGTTCAAAGCACTTTTTATTTACCTTTCTTGTGCTTTCTTCCTCGACCCATGAGATAGTTATGTGTGTGCCATTTAATTTTGAAATGGTTGACATGTGGAGGTGGGGTTCTATATACCATAAGGGATTGAATTCTAATATAATAAACATACAGGAAACACAGCCTGCATGATTTCAATTTTTTTAAAAAATGATGGAAATGCTTTTTATATTGATTGTATTGATTGCACACATGTCAGAACTCATCAGATTGCATTCCTCAAATATGTGCACTTTACTGTACTTCAATTTTACCTCAATAAAGCCATGGGAGGAAAGGTTAAAACAATCTGCAGTTCCCAGATTGTAAGTTCCCAGGGAGTCACAGTGAGTTCACAAGGGGTTATGGGTATTTTAAATTTCAAAGGAAACAAAGTGATGCTCAATATCTGAAGCTACTCGGCCAAGATAGATGGCAGTTTTAATCTCAGATGCTGCTACATTCCTTTCAATGACGTAACATCTTTGTGAAGCAGTTTGTACAGCAGATGCCATGATAAAATCCAAGTGTCCCATGAAAGTCAATGTGAAAGAAGAAATGAGTCCAGCAGTGTCCACCTGTCCAATCTGATTCCAAGGTCTGAGAATTGTGCCACGCCCCAAAGGCACATGCATCCACGGCAACTAATCCCAATACTTAAAAAAGTTATTTAGGAACTTAAATAACATGTTATTTAATCACAGCTACTTAAGAGGAAAATAAGAAATATGTGGTTTTCTTCAATGTATGTGTATTACTAGGTATTGCATATTATCTTCAGTGTATATTATTATATGTACATACAATGCATGAATCATTTTTTCAATGTATGTGTATTTTTTTTTGAATATACATTTTTTTTCAAGTGACTGCTAAGTTTTTAGCACATCAATATTTACTAAGTTTTTTGACTTCACCACTTAATAAACAAAAACTGCTAGGTAACTTTTTGGCCCAGGCACAGAGTGAACCAAGAAAATTTGGGAGCCTGTGAAGTAAACACTGTGTGTCTTGCTATTCCAGGTATTTCCAGGAAAGACATTTCTGGCTTCTTTATCATTTCAGTTCAATAACCTTTTCTGGAAACTGGCCACCATTTACAATGCAGGTGCCTGGTGACTCAGCCTGC